TTCTAAAAAGTATAATAGCAATTATAAATTATTTGTGATTATATAGTGAGTTTTTTAATAAAATGAATAGAAATACACTTGTTATACAAAACAAATAGAAAAGCCAATCCATTTTTTGTACAAAAAAAAATGAAAAATTAGTAATATCTTAAAATTTTAATTATGAAACCATCTTTTGGACTCAAAAAAATTTGTGTTACTATATTTATTTCCTGGGAGCTTAAAAATTACAACAGAGATTCCCGATGATCATAGGATACAGATGGCCCTATTAAACTCCTCATAGGAAATAAATGAATAATACCCTGCCTTATAAGTTTTCACGTGATTATTTGTGACCGGGAATTCTATAATATTGTGTAATTATATAGAATTTGTAATATATAGGGTGTGATTATATATAATCGATTAATTGATTTATCGATTAATAGTTAATCGATTAATTGGTTAATCAATTGATAGGTTAAAATTTTAATCGATTAGTTGCCAACTCAGCCAACTAAATGATTAATCAATTTTTGATTCATATCGCTAAGTTTGATTATTAGACTTACATGTTACATTGATCTTGCTTTCTGATTTGCTAGAATCATATCACATTATTAATAGTCGGAATATGTTATACAATTTATAGTAAATTCATATGTTATAGTTTTTATTATAATTTATCACTATGTGACATATTCCCTGACTGTCGATTTCGTCCAATCAAAATGCGATTTACGGCTACTTACGCGCAGGTGGTGATAAATATTGAAATAGTAAAACTTCTTTTTTTTATGCTTTATAACAATTGGTAAAACGAAAATAACATTTCTTTATAATTTATGGTCAAATTATATGTATTTTTTATATTATATGGTTATGTTTTTATCCTTAATATATTCTATTGTAAAAAAACATATACATAAACAAACAATCAAACAATTGTTATATATAGCAATTTAAATATATTTCATAGATAAAGAAATAGTTTATTACATTAAAAAAAAAATAATGTAAATAGTTTTATTACAAATTATTGCTTTCCCCTCATCTGATCTGCAACTAATTCTCTGAAATCTGATATAATTTTGTTTTCTTTTTTTGCTTTCTCTTCTTGACTGCATTATATAAAATTAATTTTACATTAGTCATTATTATAAAATACCAATGATATAAAAATATGTAGACTGCATACTTGTATAGCATCAAAGCGCGTTTTTCTTCCGCAGAAATAACTTGGTTTTCTTTACGAATACGCACAGCATTCATACGTCGATGTCTAATTAAAATTATATTAATGAATATTTTTAACAAATTAAAAAAAAAAAAAAAAAAACTTATTCATAACGCACCGACTACCGCTCATTACGTAACCAACATCTTCAAATGATTGAATTTCATCACTTGTAAGACCTATTTCACCACGACGTGGAATACGTTTTCCCTCCTGGACATAAGCAGCCATAGCTGAACCTTCACCCGCTAACAAGGCGCCACCATAACTAAAAATAGATAAAGGTTGATATTGATATTGAATATTAAATATGTTTGTCAAGAGATTTTATAACTTACTCTCGCTCTCCGAATTTTGTATCAGTTACTGATATAGGCATAGGACCAACATTCAACAAATCTTCAGGTAATTCAACTATAAAAAATTAATTATTATGGATATAGTTATCAAACGGAATGTATATTTTCCAATATACAAGTTGAGAAATAACCAATTTACCTTTTTTTTCAACCCAAAGATGATCTATTTGTTCTAGATCTTTTTCATCAACTTCTATAAATTCATCAGATTTTCTACGACCTTTATTTTTGACTTCACTTGGAGAATCGCTTTCACTGGCAGAAGAATCTGCACTTAAACTGACAGAACGATCCCGTCGTTTGCGAGTTTTGGAAGACTTCTTATGTTTTTTCGAAGATCGGTGCTTTTTAGATTTTGATTTGCTTTTTTTCTTTTTCCCTTTTTTTATTTAATATTTCGAGATCAACGATAGAAATTTATAAAATATACAATCAAAAATAAAAATGAATAATACATACTTTCATAATCTGATAGGTCTGATGAGACCTCAGAATCACTGATACTACGTGAACGTTTCTTCTTTTTAGAAAAATGCGGGTTCTCTGGAGATAAAGAACTAATTAAATAATCAAAACATCAGACAATTTTCTATTTTGATTATAAAAAGTAATTGCAAATCTAAGTCTCAAATCCAATTTTTATTAGCACATTTAAAATTATATACTATAGATATGTATACTCTAAACGCGTATTGATATCTTGTTCCATAGGTATGACTTATGAAAGGTTTTGTACATATAACTTTAGTTGAAAACTTACCGTTCTAATTTGCTTGGATATTCAGGTGATTGTGGCCAAATGGAAAAGGTACTTTCTTTGCGAGTTCGTTTTCGTCTAAAAAAATAAAAGAAATATTTGAATCCTTTTTCATTTATTGAAAATAATAGATCTTGCAAATAATTACTGCTCAAGTAAAAACTCGTTGTTATGGAAATTTCTTCCTTTTCCCCATTCCCCTTTACGGTCTACATTATCGTAATGCCGTCTCCTGGACTCAGGTTCTCTATGATTTGTATCAATGCTTATCTTTTTTCAGCATCAAACTCTATTTTGATAACAATATAAAACTTGATTTATTCTAGCATTATTCTTTGATAAAAATATCTAACTTGATTTATTTCACTATTACATATTTTTTTTATCATTATTGCGTTATTACAAAAAAAATTCTCATTGTCTACTATAACAACTATGCATTCATGAGAATTCTACATTACAACCCAATTTCGTGATTTCTGTGGTATTTCGTAAAACGATCGTAATGCAGATCACAGGACTAAATTGACCAATCAGAATAAAATGCCGATCATTGTCGATCATTCTGATTACAGCCAATTAAAATGAATTTCCGTCTTGCTCTATAGCATTCAAAAAAAAAAATCAATTGAATTTTACTTGGCAATTGTCAAGATATCTTTGGTAAAAATTTGACAAAATTCAAAACGTCTATCAAATGAAAGCTGCGCCAAACTTTTCAACTTTGAACGAAAAATATCTTGGCAATCACAAAGCTGAATACGATAACATTATTTATTTGGATTTTACAGTTTGAATAATTAAAATAAAAAAAATTATCAAATTTAGCTTGGTGGTTATCAAGATTTCTTCGTTCAAATTTTAAAAAAAGTTTGGCGCAGCTTCTGTTTTGATAGACGTTTTGAATTTTGTCAACCTTTAACCGAAGATATCGTGACAACCACACAAGTCAACTTTGGTGAACTTCTTTTCATTGAATCTATAGAATTAAAATTAAAAAAAAAAATGCATCGAATTTGACTTGTTAGTTATCGAAATAACTTCGCTCAAAGTTTGACAAATTCAAAAATGTTCATCAAAATAGAAACTGCGCCAAACTTTTTTCAAAATTTTGATGAAGATATTGACAACCACTAAGCTAAATTCAATAAGCTTTTTTATTTGGATTCTACAGGTTTGTAAAATCTAAATAAAAAATTTAATAAATTTAGCTTGGCATTATCAGGATATCTTCGTTCAAATTTTGAAAAAAAAGAAAAAATACACCGAATTGGCTTGGTGACTATTGAGATACCTTCGCTCAAGTTTGTCTTTCGCAAAAGTATTTTTGGTCAAAATCTGGTGTACTCATGTCGATCATTGCTGTGTCGATAAGGGAGATAAATCACGTGTTGCTGTGTCTGTAGCTTTTCCCTAATATTTTTAGAAAAAATGTGCTTGTCACCGGCGGTGACAGTAACCGGATTTGGGTTAGGGTTGGATTTAGAGTTAGAAGTAGGTTTATTATTTAGTAAAATGCCCCAAGAAACATTTTTTGTTAGAACACAAACGGTGGTTTCATAGGCATAATTTTTTTTTTTAATTTTCTTGTTATACCTAATCTTGCAATCTGATTGGCTCGGAACTGTCACCGCCGGTTACAAATAAGATTCGCCCATATTTTTAAACCCGATTTTATATTAATTTATTATTATTACCGGTATTTTTTTTTTTTTAAAAAAAAAAAACATCGTTACGTCATTGCATTTGCTATTTAACGACCATATTAAGCTTCGGACTTTTAAACAATCAAAAAAAATTATAGACTCAAACTATTAAAATTCATAAAATTGATCTGATATAAGTTTTAAAACCCGAATCTAGTTTTCTTTAACGTTGCATAAATTTTATATACATTTGCTATATACATTTACATAATATACTATACACAACTTTATACTCAATTGTGACCTACACACTTGTTTGCTAATTTAACGTATTATACTCCACTACTTTACTAAATCATACTCTACTACTATTCGTATTACTCTTAAAGAAACTGATAAATTTGATCGAGTTTATCAGATAAATATGTAAAAGGTTTGAGTATGATTGTACATATATAGTGAACTATTGTTAGTCTCTTTGATTGATTGAATCACAAGATATCACTTGATAGAACTTATACCGTATAAGCACGAAATAACGCCCATATGCGCGTAAATTAATTGACCTGCGCGTTATTTCGCATGTGCGTTATTTCGAAATATAGGTTAAATTAATAACCCTTAATAATAATTACCGCTAGTAATAAGTAAAAAGTGCAGCGGAACTGGATTTGATACTAAGTAACCCTTCCTTTGTACTTTAACAAAAGATGTTCTCTAGACTGAGACGATTTTAACGGTGGCAAAATTATCAAAAACGGCCCAGTAGATCGTTCGCGATGGTTCTTCGAAATTTTAAAATGTGGTAATATTAAATGTTTTAAGGAGCTATCCTTTATTTGTCAAAATCCTTCTTGATAACCTCCCAATTGTTAGACTACGCATGAATAGTAATATTTAGCAACATTTTAAATTAATGTGACTTGTTAAGCAAGAATTCTAATATATATATATCAATATCTATATTTATTTACATGTCTTTGAAGCCCTAACTTTTATTAAGATATATATTTGTATTGTATGATGCTTCGTGGTTTTTGTGGCTTACATTGCTTTTTACCTTTTTAATTCACGAAAATATACATATATAGTATATAGGTGCTGAAAAAAGAGTTCGCCAGGGCGATCACCTTAAGTACGGGTCACATATTATCTGAATCATCGCCACAGCCATATATCTTAATACGTAACAGTATATTGCTTTGTTACATATTTTAAGCAATAAAGCTGCCTGCAGGAGCTAGACGATTCAACAATTTTCTAAGAAATTATGCTGTGGCTGTGGCGTTTTATCATGTGCCCGTACTTTTGGTGGTCACCCTGGCGAACCCCTGAGAAAGGGACGTAATTAACAATTTCCAAAAAAACTTTTGAGTTTAACTAATCTAAAATTAGTCTACGTAGAAACATTTTTCACTTAAGGAAAAACGTATCTTAATAAAATTTTGCAGTATAATTCTTTGAAGTTTTTATTTTCTTATAACTTGTTATAGAATTTATAATATCAATTTTTCGCAAAACTTTTTTTTGTCAACTTGGTCCCTTGTCTCAGCACCAAGCCTATATGTTTATACTATATATACGTACGTACGTACCTGATATGACACATACAGTTTATATAATGCGGGTATAAATCACCGTCTAGCTCTTAAAACTCTTAAAACTGGTAGAGAGTACCTGATAATAATACATATCAGATATATATAATACGTGAGTACTTAACTGTTTGTCTAAATTTATGAACGAATCGATACACAATATTTGTAAGGGCTTTGCTATATAAGCCACCTCCTCGTAAGCCTCAAAACTTAACACTTGACTATTTAAATCAACTATTAAAGTCTTCATTGTATTCTTCTGTCTCGAACAATTTGTCTCGATCGTTAAAAAAAGGATCCAAAGAAAAAAAAAAGATGAATAGTATCAAATTCTATGCAATTTCAATAATTATATTCATCATCATATGTTTCTTTTATCAATATTTGTTAAGTGGCCTTGAAAGTATTTATTTAGAAGATGGTCAGTTTTAAAAAATTCATTTCATTCAAACGCAAATGACTCTTTATTATTTGTAACAAAAATATTCAAAAATATTTCTTTTGTTATAAGGATTTGATGTTAATGTTTTAGGATTTGATTCAATGTCATATGGATATCCACCATCCCGTAATTATAGAAAAGTAAAATGTGATGATGCAGATTCTCTAAAATATGTTAATTCTGAACAATGGTTTGACGACTATTATTCATTACATGATTCTATATTTGTCTGAAAAATTTTTTCATCACATATCGATATCTATATGGAAGTAATGCTTGAATTCGGATTAGTTGGTTTTTTTTTTTTTGTTCAACGAAAACTTTATGTAAATATCTGATCCCTTTATTAAAAAAGAAGTATACTATATCTATTACTCAATAAATAATATTGTAATAAGATCAAACAGATTGGGATCATTTTCGTTTTCTTTTACATAACTTTACATAAACTTTTGTGCATGCGTCTATTTCCCCTCGTCAATCTTTTATACTAACGCTAAGATAATTTATTGGGTTCATTAATGGTTGCACATGGAATTCCCATGAGTAACAAAAAAAGAGAATTCGTCGTAAGATAACCTGGGAAAAAAATTTTTTATTGGTTAAGATGTTATTAGGAATTTTTTTGTGTATGTTTGTATTGTAACGGTTGGTTGGGAGAGCGACGCACAAGGAATGCGCAGTGCAGCTCTAACCGCTACTAGAAGTTATGTGGATTGAATAATAAAAGGTCTCTATAGGGCACAGTAATTCTATTAGGGCGACTTAATGATGGTGTGAAATTAAGGAGAGAATATCATTATGTCCAGGCTACTTTATTATGAGAACGAGGTTCTCCTGTTTATTAGAATATGCTTCACTTTTGTACATTTTGATAATATGAAAGAGAACATATTCTGGAACCTACTTAATGATATCGTGTTAGCCTTATGTCAATATGCATACTACCTCCTTCGAGGGCTTAAACGATACTAATTGTGTTAGATAATCAATTACACCAAAAAGGGTAATTAAATTCGTTAACACACTATATCGATATATCGATATTGGCTTTTTTTTTATTTTTGAAAATAATATCTAATGCTGCAATGACGATAATATTAATACGTAAGTATGTACGATTAATGTGTGTCCTTCAAACAATATTAATTAACCAATAATATTAAAAAAATAATACGTTTCAACGAATGTTTTTGAATCCAACTTCTAATTATCGAAATAGGAAATATGCAGTCAGTTCGTACAAACATTTCCGTAAAAATTAAGTTTTGTTAAACGTCCCGAGGTAATTTATTGTTATTGTGTAAATGGGATAAGTAAATGGAATAAACGGCCACAGTAATTGATCTTACCGGGAAATACATATTTGGCATGGACAAATAAACCCTTCGTATTATACGTATATATATGCTAGATACGTTCTAACAATATTAGATAGGAATCCACAGGGACAGCAAAAAAATTTTTTTTTGCTATTCTATTCATAATTTAATAAATAAAATTTTAATTGTAAATATTGGTATAAAAGAATTCAAAATTTCAGAATTAAGAAATAATAATGATCGAAGCACAAGACTCCATTACAATAACAGTTCCTAATTCTCATGATGAAAATGACGATAAAACATTGAATAATATAGCTTCCAAATCAAATATAACGGATAGCTGTCATGAGGATGAGAAGTCCACGTTATTACCTATCAAAGAATTAGTTCTTGTGTTCTTAGCGTACGTTAATGCTATATAATTTTGAATAATGTTTCAAATAAACGTATTATAATATCATTGTTAATTATATATTTTTCAATGATATCTTGAATAAAAAAGATTGCTTCTTTCCGTATTTTTAGCAGGATTGGATCAAATGATAATAGCAACATGTTTACCGAACATTTTAACAGAATTTAATTCATTAGATCAAATAACGTGGATTGGAACTGCTTATTTATTAACTTCAACAACTTCACAACCAATTTCGGGAAAAGTTTCTGACATATTTGGAAGGTATTAAAATTCTCTTAACCTTCAAATTAGTCAAATTATTCAAATTATTCTAAATCTTTTCCTATGTTAATTACTTAAAGGAAACCTACATTTTTATTTGCTCTCGGAACTTTTGTAATAGCATCAGTTTTATGCGGTGCCGCTCAGGTAAGTAAAATATATTATTATTTTTTTCGTTCTTTTTACGTACGTACGTATTAAGTTATACATTTATGTTTACTGTATAGAGCAATAATATTTAATTTTAATCTTGTCATATTTAGAATATGCTCATGTTAATCGTGTTTCGTGGTTTATCTGGGTTGGTAAGTATTTATGAATGCGTCTTACTCATATTTTAAAAAAAAAATTTAATATCGACATTTTTATTATTATTGGATCAGGGAGCAGGAGCAATTATAAAGTATATACGTAATATTTTATTGTTTATTATCATTATCGTTTTATATTAATATTATACCAATCCCCAATTCGTAATCATTATGTACAGTTTATTAATGATTATAATGTCAGATGTCACTAGTCAACGTGATCGTGGAAAATATCAAGGTATCATGGGAGGAGTTTGGGGTATATCCTCACTTATAGGACCTTTGGTCGGAGGTCTCTTTTCTGATCACCTAAGCTGGAGATGGGCTTTCTTTATCAATCTTCCAATTGGTGCCATGACTATAACAATAGTAATTTTGTTCTTGAAACTTCCAAGACCAACTGGTTCTTTGGGTGAAAAACTTAAAAGAATTGATTATTTAGGTTCTTGTCTTGTATTTATTACCGTAGTTTGTTTATTATTACCAACTAATTGGGGAGGTAATATTTATCCTTGGAATAGTCCTCAAGTCATTTCTTTATATATTGCTGGTTTTATTTTTTTATTGATTTTGGCTTATGTGGAAATTAAAGTTGCTTCTGAACCTATAATACCTGCTCAAATATTTAAAGTGCGAACAGCAGTTGCAGCTTTTATATTTAATTCTTTATTTGGGATGGTGTTCTATTCGTTAGCATATTACACTCCTTTATATTTTCAGGTTATTATTATTATTATTATGACTATTATTATTATTATCACTCTTCTCTAACGGTTTTTAACATATTTCACTTAGGTAATAAAAGGTGTTTCGGCTACAGAGTCAGGCTTGTTACTATTACCACTTATTGCCGGGCTAGTAATATTTTCAGCTATTGCTGGACTATTGACAGCATATACAGGAAGAGTTCGTGAAATTATTTGGATCGGTTCTTTAATCGCAATTGTTGGTTCAGTACTTATTGGTATATATTTTGATGCCGATTCGACAGCAAGCCAACAAATTGGTTATCTACTTTTAATTGGATGTGGACTTGGTTTGGTAGCTCAAACTACATTACTTTCTCTACAAAGTTGTGTAGAGATTGAATATTTGGCTACTATTACTGCTATGTATAATTTTAGTCGTATTAGTAAGTTTTTACTTTAAAAAATATATATATTCACATGAATTCTATATTTTTCTAACATATTTGTTTGATAATTTTTAAGTTGGTGGTATTTTTGGTGTAGCGATTTTAGGTGCAATTTTCAATAATGTACTTTCTCAAGGACTTGCAGACTATTATTCTAAACAACCCCCAGGAACATTTGATATTGAATCAGCAAGAAGAGAACCATTGTATCTTTGGCAACTAACTGATATGGAAGTCAAACAAAATCTCATGCAAATTTACGTTAATGCATTACAAGCTGCTTATAGACTTAATATTCCGATTTTTGTTGGCGCTTTTCTTTTTAGTTTGTTAATTAAGGCGAGTTTATTTACAATATTTATTTATTTATTTTTTGTAGTTATACATATTATACTTATTGTATTTTTTTCAAATTATACATATTATACTTATTTATACTTATTGTATTTTTTTCAAATTATACAGCATTATGATTTAAAAAAGACAATAACGAGGCAAAAACAGTAATAATTTCAAAGGACTGAAAATAAATGCTGCCAGAGACAGTGCAAATATGTATGCAACAGTCCAGGTGACTGATAGTGTAACATATCACGTGAATATTCTCAAAAGCGTTCACTAAAAAAGTCTAAATTAATTTACTTTGTTCTTATTAACTAACGCTTATAATCAAATTTTTTATAATGGAAAATAAACATTTTGGTAAAGATACTGTATATTTTCGAAAATACCAAAAAAATAAAAATAAATAGAATTAGCCTATCACATCTTTTTATTAATGAAGCATGTAAATAATGGAAATTCCGTTAAAGAGTCTTTAATCCTATTACGTAATAACTTTGATTTTTTTTATTTATTATTAACACTGTTACGTATACGTAATTTTTCTATTTCCTTCCTACGTATTCGGGAATAGTTTGTACTTCTGTGAGTGGTAATACAATTTTTATAAATAATAGTAAATCTACGTATTTGAATCGTAAAGATTAATACTAGTAATAGTAATAGTAATCATAATCGTAATAGTAATAGTAAATAGTACCAAAAGTTTGATTTAAAAAAATACCTTATAATGGTAAAAAATTTTAGCTTTGTGGGTTCTCCATTCTGTTTATTTATCATCTTCCAAAATTTTTTTTTTTTTTTGTATCGGATTTTTACCGGACAGATGAATTGATAATTACTGATGTTAAAGGCCACAACGAACAGGAGAAACCGTCCAAATATAGATATGATTTTCATTCTCCGTTACACAGATCACTCATTGTATCGACCAGTCA